AGGAAGGAAGGAAGGAAGGAAGGAAGGAAGGAAGGAAGGAAGGAAGGGAGGGAGGGAGGGAGGGAGGGAGGGAGGGAGGGAGGGAGGGAGGAAGGAAGGAGAAAGAAAGAAAAAAGAAAGAAAGAAGAAAATAAGTGATGGTGGACTGAAAATAGTCTTGGAAATGTCGAGGAGTAAATGGATTCCAGAGAGATTTAGGAAGTAGAATCTATAGGGCTTGGGGGTTGTTTAAATATGAAGGACAATGATGAGACAGAAAGGAGGGAAAGATGGCTCCTTATTTTGTGTCTCTGTGGATGGCATGTGATCTTCTGAGATAGAAAACAGTGAAGGAGAAACAAGTTCGGTAAAGGTGAGTTTAGGGCCTGTTACATTCAAAGCACCTGTGGAACATCCAGGTGGCCATGTCCAGTTGACAGTCCAGTGCTTGACCATGAACTTCAAGATAGGCTGGATATTTAGCCCCATCAACCTGTAATTGGTAATTGACTCACAGGGTGAGTGAGAAAGGGTGGAGACTGAAAGAGCAGAATTCCTACTCTACTAAGGGTATAGCAGGAGGGCTTTCTCCTATATCCAGCTGTTGATCTTTATAAAACACAATGTAATTCATTATTTCTCTGAATCCTGTACAAGAACTATTCTTAAAAGGCTTACAGAGTGTCATATTGCATACTGGAACCAGAGACCTGCGCAAAAAAAGGGAACCTATCATAAAAAATAAAGAAGAGGCTGGACATGGTGGCTCATGCCTATAATCCTAGCACTTTGGGAGGCCAAGGCAGGTGATCACCTGAGGTCAGGAGTTCAGACCAGCCTAACATGGCGAAACCCCATCTCTACTAAAAACGCAAAATTAACTGGGTGTGGTGGCACATGTCTGTAATCCCAGCTACTCGGGAGGCTGAGGCAGGAGAATTGCTTGAATCCGGAAGGTGGAGGTTGTGGTGAGCCAAGATCGCGCCATTGCACTCCAGCCTGGGCAACAAGAGCAAAACTCCATCTGAAAAAATAATAAAATAATAGTATAAAAACATAAAAACACAATACATTTAAAATAAAAAATAAAGAATAAGTGGTCTTTTTTGACATTTTTGTTTGGTTCCAAGTCAGATTTAAGCTTAAATATGACTCATTCTATATTTTATTTCTTTTTTTTGAGACAGAGTTTCACTCTTGTTATCCAGGCTGGAGTGCAATGGCATGATCTCGGCTCACTGCAGCCTCCACTTCCCAGGTTCAAGTGATTCTTCTGCCTCAGCCTCCCAAGTAGCTGGGATTACAGGTGTGTACCACCATGCCCAGCTAATTTTGATTTTTTTTAAGTAGAGACAGGGTTTCATGATGTTTTTAAGGCTGGTCTTGAACTCCTGACCGCATGCGATCCACCTACCTCAGCTTCCCAAAATACTGGGATTACAGACATGAGTTACTGCACTCGGCCTCATTCTATATCTTCCGTAAGAACTTACATGCTGAATAAAATACCGGTAATATTATTATAACAAAAGGAGCTGCTGCTACTAATAGGCCAACTTTACACCTCATTCACACAGGAGAATGAATGGATTAAAATCCAGCATCAGCACCAGCGGAGGTCTTAGGTTATCAACGGCCTCTTTAAAATTCGACCTCTTATAACCTAACATAGTTCTTCCCAATATGGGCAATTGACATTTCCTGTATTTTACATGAGTGCTGTAAAAATGTGACTCCAAGCCAGGTCTTTTCAATATGCCACCTCTAGGCCCCTCTAAATGGAAATTCTGAACCACCTCAGTCGCAGTAGTCATAACAAGATGGGATTTAGGTTTTGCTGAATCCATTTTGTCTTTCTTTTCTTTTAGAAGGCATCACAGAAGGTCTCTACGTGATGTGGCTTCCAAAGACTCAAGGACCACCCACCTTACAAGTCTGCAGTGAAGAAGGCAGAAATGGAGATTCGAACACCACGTCTTCTATTCTTTCATTAGTCACTCTGTAGACATGTGTCCCCACTGAAGGGAGTGAACTGCTCCAAGGGGGAAAGTTCTGGGAGCCTCCAAACTCCTAGCTGTCTTGTCCCTCACCCTGGAGAGAGGGCAGAACCATGGCATTTTATAGCTGCTGCTGGGTCCTCTTGGCACTCACCTGGCACACCTCTGCCTATGGACCCGACCAGCGAGCCCAAAAGAAAGGGGACATTATCCTTGGGGGACTCTTTCCTATTCATTTTGGAGTAGCAGCCAAAGATCAAGATCTCAAATCAAGGCCGGAGTCTGTGGAATGTATCAGGTAAGAAGAGGGGCCTAATCCACCAGTCTCTTCTCTTCTGAGTGGCTGGAGAAAAGCTACACCAAATGCAACATAATTTTTTCAAACTTTGTTCTCTCTTTTCAAAAATAGTGATTAATTGGTAATCATGCTGAAGCTTATTGCCCCCCATAATCTGCCTTTTTTTTTCCTGAAGACTTCTTTTTAAATAAAATGTCAATTATATTGAGTAGAAAATCCACACATGACCTGTTAAAATACCTAGTGGTCATTTGGTGACCAAGTTATTATCGTTCACCTGGCAGCAGTGTTGCTTAATGGAAGACTAGGTGCCTAGAAGGAAATTTATTGCAGGTCTTGCAAACCTGAGTGGTAAAACCCCCCACTGATCCTACATACTTCAATTGAATGGTAATATCTGAGTGCTGGCTGCCTCACTCTTTTTCTTTTTCTTTCTTTCTCTCTCTTTCTTTCTTTCTCTCTTTCTTTCTTTTTTTTTTTTAAAGGCATTCAAGTTGAAAGAAACCACCACAGTCAGCATGACCCAGGCATCTTTAAAACGTAAAACATAGTCCATTGCATTTTGGAACTACTGCCATTAGAAAGTCTTTTGCATAGGAACGTTATCCCCCATCGCCACTCTCCCCACCCCTCATCCCACCCTACTAAGACAGAATGCATCTAACTCTCTGAATAGATTCTCTCTGCAGCCACTTGAAGAGAGCTATTATATCTCATCAAATATTTTCTTCTCCAAGCCACATAGTCTGTTTTCTCATCCCATGATATGCTTTCCAGACCCTTCATCATCCTGATTGTCTTCATCTGACGCCCCCTAATTTATTGTGACCCTTTTAGAATATAGTCTTCGGGGCGAGGAACATGTCTTTCAAATAGGATCTGACTTCTGCAGAAGACAATCGGACTGTATACCACCGCCCCTATCTACACTGGAGACTATGACTGCCATTCCAAATCTTGACCCATCTTCCAGAGAGACTTGTAACTTCCAGAAGAGATCCAGCACTTTTTCTTGCTCTTCCCAATAGCTGGAAAATGAAAATGAAAACTAGGATGGTTCCAACAAAACTGGATTTCTGTTCATGTTCTAATGAGAGCTAGTAAATTAGATAACATTTTCACACGTTTCTTGTGAATGCAGAAAAACTAAGTGCAGAATTGCACTGATGCTGATGGTATCCTTCATATAACCCATGTGGACAAATGCTCTGTTGTACCCTGCTGCACAGAGCTGTACATGTGCTATGTATATACAGACCTAAGATCAAGCAAAAGCTTTGCCCGAAAATAATATATTTTTGAAATTATGTTAAAGATAATAAAATTAGCTTAGCAGCATAGATGTTTAATGTAAAAAAAAATCTGTAATATCTTATAATAACTTTGTAGGTTTAAAACAAATAAATGAAGGAAACATAAAGAAAATGGTAACCGGGCGCAGTGGCTCAAGCCTGTAATCCCAGCAGTTTGGGAGGCTGAGGCGGGTGGATCACGAGGTCAAGAGATTGAGACCATCCTGGTCAACATGGTGAAACCCCGTCTTTACTAAAAATACAAAACATTAGCTGGGCATGGTGGCGCGTGCCTGTAATCCCAGCTACTTAGGAGGCTGAGGCAGGAGAATTGCCTGAACCCAGGAGGCGGAGGTTGTGGTGAGCCAAGATCGCGCCATTGCACTCCAGCCTGGGTAACAAGAGTGAAACGCCATCTCAAAAAAAAAAAAAAAAAGAAAATGGTAAACAGAAAACGTCACATTTAAAGTTAGACCAGGAGCTTAGAGAACCTAACTATACAATGGAGTGTAAAAGATCATATGTCTCACCTCCTGTCACTGTCACTGAGTTCAAGTAGCGAAACTCACAATATAAAGAAAGAACCTGCAGAGCTGTTTTTTCCTCTAGACACAAATACACTGATTCAGCACATTTATTGAGCCCTCACTCTGAGCAAAGTGCTGGGGAAGTGAAAACTATGTCACTGACCCTATTTCTCTTGTTAACTTGTTAAAATGTTCTTCTTTGAAAAGCAATGCATGTTCACTTTTTTAAGATACAAAGTATAAATAAACCAAAAGCACATAATTTTAAAACTCAACGTTCCACTACCCAGAAATGACCACAGTTGTACACCCCAGAATAACTACTGTCTATGTATAGCCTTCATATGTTTGTTATTTGTTTACAAAAATGGGATTATTCATGTCTGTTTCCCCTTGACCTTCAGGAGTGTCATAGTCTAAATGTATGACTCTGCAATCTGATCTGAGGTTATTTTTAGGCACCCACATATTAATATCCTAATCTATTTATATTTCCCCTGGTCCTTTTCTTGTACGTCTACATATTGCTTTTATTTAAGCACTTCACATCAGCTACTTCAAACTCATTACTGGAGAAGACAGATACAAATTATCCAATGAATTACAAACAGCAATCTTTTATTTTTATTTTTATCATTATTGCTTCCTGTCTCTGTGTGAGGCACCTGATGAAGACTTTGCATAATTATCTCATGTCATCATCTGCACAGCCAACCTATGAGGCAAGTGTCAGCTCCCTTGATTTTTTATTTATTTATTTTAAAATGGAGTCTCACTCTGTCACCCAGGCTGGAGTGCAGTGGTGGAATCTCAGCTCACTGCAACCTCCATCTCCCAGATTCAAGCAATTCTCCTGCCCCGGCCTCCCATGTAGCTGGGATTACAGGCGCCTGACACCACGTCTGGCTAAATTTTGTTATTTTTAGTAGAGACGGGGTTTTGCCATGTTGGCCAGGCTGGTCTCCAACTCTTGACCTCAAGTGATCCGCCTGCCTCAGCCTCCCACAGTGCTGGGATTATAGGCATGAGAGCCACCAGGCCCGTCCTTGTCATCCCCGTTTTAAGAGTGAGGGCTCTGTATAGAGCATGCCATGAAGCCAGAGAGTAGTAATAGTTCAATGATTCAAACCCAGCTTTGCCTGGTCTTTACTCAAGTTGTTGACTAGAAAGCTTCCCATTTTCTTCCACTTCTTCTTTCTTCCAGGTATAATTTCCGCGGGTTTCGCTGGTTACAGGCCATGATATTTGCCATAGAGGAGATAAACAGCAGCCCAGCCCTTCTTCCCAACTTGACGCTGGGATACAGGATATTTGACACTTGCAACACCGTTTCTAAGGCCTTGGAAGCCACCCTGAGTTTTGTCGCTCAAAACAAAATCGATTCTTTGAACCTTGATGAGTTCTGCAACTGCTCAGAGCACATTCCCTCTACGATTGCTGTGGTGGGAGCAACTGGCTCAGGCGTCTCCACGGCAGTGGCCAATCTGCTGGGGCTCTTCTACATTCCCCAGGTACTCGCGCCTTCTCAGATGGGGCCCTGGGAGTAGGGTCAGAAGAAGCAGGCTTGGGGGTGCCATGCCCAATGTCCATGTGGTTTGCTACTTTCCTATCTCTGAAATAAAAGATCTATGATGTAGTTGGTGTGCTGTATCGTGACCATTTGGGATTTCTGAAACTCCAGTGTTCACCAGGTCAATGATACCTTCATTACTCTTCCAAAATTCTTTTAAACGTACCTTGCATAAAACTGTCTTTTTTAAAAAAGAGACATTCAATTATTTATTTCCCACTCTATTCCTTTAGTAAATGCATTTTTTCCTTCTGCTTTTACTAAAGGGAATGAGAGCATGTGAGGTACATCCCACCTCTCAAATCAAAAATATCTGTCCCTAATTCCATTTCCTTAAAAGTCTCTGCTTCTCTACTGTCTAGTTGAAACTTTAGCCCAGAGGGAAGCAGAGCATATTTTCTCACAAAACAGAAACTTAATCATTGTGTTGCACATTCCAGAAATGGAGAAAATTCTATTTCATTCAGCAAATATTTATTGAGTATCTATGTATAAGCAGTCTCCACTTTGCAGGAACTCAGCCTAGGTGGAGAGATGGTTGCATTTTCATATACTAACAGTTTATTGAAGTAAGTGCTTTAATAAACATTCAGTGGTGCATTTTTTCACCAAAAAAAAGATAACAAATGTGAAATGCCATTTTATAACCTTTTTCCCCTCAACACCATAGAGCAAAGCATTTTTCAGTTTAATATTTATAAATCTATGATATCATTTTACAATAGTGAAAAATTGGAAACAACCTAAATGTCTGTGGGTGGGAGAATCAGCTCAATTGTGATACATCCTTATATCAAGCTTGAAATTAAATTATAAATTACACCTTAAATTTATTTTTTTCAATGTTTAATATTTAAAATTCATGAGGATACCTTTGATAAATTTACATTTCTTTGTTGGGAGGCTCCATTTTTTTGGTGACGGCCATTATCTCTTTACATACGTGACGCAAGAGATAGTCTTGTCACCATTTACGGAATCCTTACTTCAGGGAATTAAAGGTGTTTCCCATGGGGAATCCCTGGCTTTGTAACTTTTGTGCCAAAGTGATATGACAAAGACTGTATCAGTAAATGTGCTGCGTGTGTTTAAATTTAGCATATTATGCAGTATTATTTTAGATACACAGTTAAAGTAAGTTATTGTTACCCCATGGCCAACAGGCTAAGACGTCAAGCAAAGAAAGAACATGAAGGGGGCAGGGTGTTAATTCTTTGCGGTTTGGATGAAAGATAAGGTTAAGTTGAATTTATAAAAGTGCTTCGATTATCAATCAAATCAATATAAGTCTATCCACAGTAGGGGTTCTCTGCCATGGCTACCCACTGGAATCACTTGGGGAGTTTTAAAAATACTGATGCCCAAGTCCCACTCCCCAAAGATCATGGTTTAATTGAGCTGAGATGCAGCCTGGATGTCAGGAGGTTTTAAAGCTCCAGAGGTGAGTCTAATGTGCAGCAGGGCTGGGAACCACTGCCCTGCCAGGTTGGGTCAGGGCCCAGGAGTATTTCTCATGCCCGCCACGCCACCAAGTGGATGGAACAAGCAGACCAGCTAGAACAAATTGCAATTGGAACACTTTTCTGAATCATTAGTGAAATTCTCCCCTCTTACAATAAAAAAAGTTTCTAAGGGACACAAAATTGTATTTACTCCACTTTAGAGTTGGTTTTTAAAAACTTGGTAAAAATTATAAATATATTCCTTAAGAGAACATATCCATGAGAAATATTATTTTTTTTTATTTTTATTCCTTTAAAGCCTTTTTGGCCTATTCTTGAAAAGAAAATCAAGAAGCAAGCAATAATGGATGGATTTTTTTTAATGGTAGGTTTTGTATTTGCAAAAATCTGATTCAGAGGCCTGTTATTCGGATCTGCTAACCAAGTTCTCAAAATACAATAAAATCTAAGCAAATTACTTAATTAAACCACCTGCCTCATGAAGTTCTGTGGCATTTCAAGAATAGCTTGTTCTGATGAAGGAAAAAATAATACATTTTATACTATACCTTCTAAAATAAAATCACTTGCCAGAAATAAATGATACTTGTTTTTAGTAAGGTTGGCCTAATTTTTTCACAGACCAATGCCTTTCATGTTTCTAACGTAGACACTTCATTGATAAGAAGAAATACATTGGAAATTTTTATTTAAAAATATTGGACATAGAAAACTAGCTGCTTCAATTGGTGAGAAATGTTAAAAACACATTCTCCCAAATACCTTCAACTTGTTTTCTTAAGAAGTTTAAAATCTCTCAGGAAAAACTAGAGAACACAAGATATGAAGCTACTTCATTTTCTAGAAAAAAGTTTATTTTGTAAAAATGTTTTGTTCTTCAGAAGAAATGATCCCATAACTTGGAACTTCCTAAGTGGTGAGCTGTGATGACAGAGTGCTGTAAATGAGCTAAAGCTGGTCCTCATTTGGATCCCCTCAAGATATGGATCCCCTCAAGCTTTGGGGTGGTCAGATGGGGCCTGGGTGGTCAGAGCACTCCCACCAGGGTTGATCAGCTTCCTCCATTTGCTCCATGTGTTGCCATAATGTGAAAAGAAGCGGGAAAGCTCTGCACTAACAAATGCTTTACGTGATATTTCGCTACTTCTTTAAGCAACAATCTCTTAACATCAAGTGCAAGACTTTCTTCCCTTGGTAGTCCATACTCTTGCTCAGATGCATACGTGGCTATGTCTTAGAGAGTGGAAACGTGTCAAGACAGCTTCTCCAGGGTTCCTATTCAGCCTCTGTAAGATTTTCGAGATCCACATCAAAAGCCTGTCAAGCAGGCTCAATCATCACTTGTAACTGAATAAAGGAGAGGGCTCTGCATGGTGCTTCCCAATAGAAGATTCTTTACAATGCTGCCTTCAAAAGTGGGTCTGGCCAAAAAATCAATCCAACAATAGTGGGATGGAGAGGAAAGGAGGTTTTTTTGAAATTTAATGACATACATCATTGTTATTGTGGTGCAGGGGGATTGAGCCTGATGGTCTAATGGAGGCTAAAAGAAACAGTTCTCAAAAATGACTGCACTTAAGGTTACTTTTTTCTAAAGTACTGGGGTGTGGGGAGGAGAGGGAAAAGGGGGAATAACCAGAGGATGGCAAGAGAGAAATTAGGCAGAAGAAGAAAAGGGAATTCCCTGGGACTCCTCTGAAGAGCCTGAAGTTTATAATCCACAGGGAACATGATTCTTTCCAGAAGTGGATTGTGGGCAAAGTGTTTATTGCAGTAAAGGGAAGTTAAACTGTTCAGATCAGAAGCTGACCCAAGAGGCCAAAGATATGTACATGGATATATTATGACCAGTGAGGCAGCACAGAGGAAGTTAGAGGAAACATGAAATGATGCATGAAGACTCTTCTAGAAAGGCTAAGTACATCCCATTATTGTTGGGTTGATTTTATAGCCAGACCCAATTTTGAAAGCAGCATTGTGAAGAATCATCCACTGGGAATTAGGATGCTCCCTCATAGACCAAAAGGTGCTTAAGTGCTCACGCTGGAGTAGAACAGATGCTGCTTTTCCTCGTCCTTTCATCCTGCACACAGTGAACAGCATAGTTGATAAATGAGACCAAGGCATGCTCAGAAAGCCACCACCACAACAGCCTGGAGGCTCCCTTAGCACCTCCTCCCTCCCTCCCTCCTTCCTTCACTCATTCACTCATTCATTGTGTCCTTGGTTCTCGCCAGGTCAGTTATGCCTCGTCCAGCAGACTCCTTAGCAACAAGAATCAATTCAAGTCCTTCCTCCGAACCATCCCCAATGACGAGCACCAAGCCACCGCCATGGCAGACATCATCGAGTATTTCCGCTGGAATTGGGTGGGCACAATTGCAGCTGATGATGACTACGGGCGGCCGGGCATTGAGAAATTCCGGGAGGAAGCTGAGGAAAGGGACATCTGCATTGACTTCAGTGAACTCATCTCCCAGTACTCTGATGAGGAAGAGATCCAGCAGGTGGTGGAGGTGATTCAGAATTCTACAGCTAAAGTCATCGTGGTTTTCTCCAGTGGCCCTGACCTTGAGCCCCTCATCAAGGAGATTGTCCGGCGCAATATCACAGGCAAGATCTGGCTGGCCAGTGAGGCCTGGGCCAGCTCCTCCCTGATCGCCATGCCTGAGTACTTCCATGTGGTTGGAGGCACCATTGGATTCGCTCTGAAGGCTGGGCAGATCCCAGGGTTCCGGGAATTCCTGAAGAAGGTCCATCCCAGGAAGTCTGTCCACAATGGTTTTGCCAAGGAGTTTTGGGAAGAAACATTTAACTGCCACCTCCAAGAAGGTGCGAAAGGACCTTTACCCATGGACACCTTTTTGAGAGGTCATGAAGAAAGTGGCGGCAGGTTTAGCAACAGCTCGACAGCCTTCCGACCCCTCTGTACAGGGGATGAGAACATCAGCAGTGTCGAGACCCCTTACATAGATTACACACATTTACGGATATCCTACAATGTGTACTTAGCAGTCTACTCCATTGCCCACGCCTTGCAAGATATATATACCTGCTCACCTGGGAGAGGGCTCTTCACCAATGGCTCCTGTGCAGACATCAAGAAAGTTGAGGCGTGGCAGGTGCGTCCTTCACTGAGATAGCAATTTGCTGCATAAGAAAGCAGCGTTGGGCTGCAACTCCAGGCAAGAAAGATAGTAGTTACTGAAAAAGGGTAGTCTTTAAATGAGGCCACTAAATGGAGCTTTGGATTCAAAGTGGCTTTTTAAAATCTTGAGCAACTGATTTGTGAAAAATTGGTAGTAATTTGATTATCTATTTAAAGCCTTGACTCAACTGTTCTATAGTCCAGAGGTTCAGAATACCTAAAGTATGGTCCCTAAAAGTGTTCAAATATCCCAGAACAGATTTAGTAATGAGTGGGGTATTAAGAAGTATTTGTTTAGTACCTATTACATTCCATATACTAAGTGGCATAAAGCTAGTATTATTGTGTTCAGCCACCACTTTAGCCATTACATTACCCACAGCCTATACCAAGCCACCCAGCAGGTCAGCTAAGCATGGCTTAGGACAAAAGCAAATCAAAGGCACAGAAACCCAAAACTCTTTATAAAAAGATTTGATATTGAATGTTTCAAAAAGGAGCACTGAAGTCATTATCACAGAAAAAATCAGAACTTAGGCAGAGTTCCCACATTTGTTTAGTCTTGTTTTGCATTTTTGACTTACACACAGGAGAGACATCATAATCTTTTTCATTTTGTGAGTTTATATCCTAAATAGCTGTTTGGGTCTTGCATATGTGCCTTATTTTTTCAACCAGATCATCTTTTACACTCTTTTTATATTTTCCTTAGTTCCAAACTGACCTGTCAGAGAGATTGCATGACAGTGGAGAGGACAGGGATCCCTTAATTTGAATGGAATGTCCAAGCCTCCAGCTCCCCCATTTCCTGGCTGTGTGATCTTAGGCAAATCGAGGCTCTAAGTCACAGTGTCTCCATCTGTGACACAGACTTAATGTCTAGCCTACCTTCCACCCAAGGTTCTTCTGACTATTAAATGACATGATATATGTGAAAACAGTTTGTAAACTTTCAAGCTCTAAACAGATGTGTGATTATTATAGTAGGATTTCAGTATACCTCTAATTAATCCATCAGTTAGGTTACAAATGATAACTAGAACACCTCTATATACAGAACCCAACCACCACAAACCCTTTGGGAAGGATACCAAGAAGCAAAGAGCATACAACTTGTATCAGTCACTGTAGAGATTCTCATGAAAGACAAGGAGTGACTGTCTAAGTTGGCCAAATGAGCCTGGATCTGCAAATTCCCAGCTCTTCTTGTATGGGAACCTCTCACCCAGCCATTACTGTTAGCGAAAATTTCTAACTTCTGTGGGTTTCCTTCTTCTCACAGAACCCCTACCATGCCAAGATAGAGGTGCTATAATAAAGGTCAAGCAGTCTGAAGTCTTCAGTAGTGATGATGTTAAGGTGTGGGGTTTTAAGTAGCAGAGTAAAGGGACAATCTTTTAGGTGGCTGATATTATCATCTCTTCTTCCTTACCTTTCATGTCCAATGCAAGAAGGACCCAAGCTCTTGAAAAAAACTGCAAGACCAGGATGTGGTTGAAGGGAAATCAGGCTTCAAGGGGGAAACTTGGCAGTTCTACTCTCCAATTACTCCTTTTCCAGATGAGGAAAGAAAATCCAGATGGTCAAAACCAGAGCTTGAACCTGTAAGAAAAAAGCCATGACAGGCTACAGTCACAATTGGGACTTTTAGTTGTATAATAGAAAGCCCTAACCAAATTGGCATAAACAACAAAAAAGAGGAAATGTAGTGGGTTGTGTTACTGAGAACATCAGAAGTGTTCCAGGTACAGCTAGGTATTTTCATCTCATCTTTCTGTTCTTCATTCCCCAGTTAGCAATTTTCAGCATCTGTAGCATCTTGAAACTAGGATCTCCTTGCTCCCCAGGATATCCTGTAAAAGTCCCAGAAACCAAGTTTATTGACCATTCCCAGGTCATGGATTCCTCCTTGATGCTATGAGTCCTCCCAACTACATAAACTTAGAGTAAGAGGGGGGTGAACCTCTAATGGGACATCAGGATGCCATTACCAAAAGGAGGAAGAAATAGGAGGAAAGCAGCCAACATTCAAAATGTCCACTACACAGACACCTCACCCAACCATGGCCCGGGTAAAGATATGTTCTCCTGACTCATACATGGTCTGGCAAAATCCCCCCAGGAGAGAGCACAGATAGGAAAATGGGATCAGAGCTCTAGGGAGGAATAATGGGATATTGGCCAAAATGTCCTGAGTGCTTAGTGTAGGTCTCTTTTGAGCCTCAGGAACACAGGATGCTGGGTGGGCATTCCAGAATTTGAGATCTTGGCCAGGAGATAACTAGCAATTATTCATTCTCATTATTAAGACCTATAATCTAACCCAAGTCTCCAGCTGGAACTCTATGTCTGCCTTCTCTCAGTCCCTCCCCTATAAGCCAGCCTGCATGACACCTCTTCACAAATCACTTATTAATTTTTGGCACAGCATCTTTGCATTGGCCATAGCCCACACCAGAAGGGCCATCAATTTTTATCTCTACTATCATTTTCCACCATGAACATTTAAATCGTTTTCAAAATCCACTTTCCCCTGAAAGCCTTTTCAAACTATACTCCCACAACACACTTTCCGATTATTCTTGCCTCCTCATTTTTGCTGTTTATATACCCAGCTTAAGCTTCCACAGCACTTCAATTGACTGAAATAGACATTTATTAGTTAAAATTCTGGTTATAAGGGTTAATCACAATTTTTTTCTTTTGTGGATCTTTCCCTTCCTCCGCCCAAAAATAAATCAATCAACTCATATGCCTCAAAAGTAGCACTAGCAGGTGATTTATGAGCATACAACTCACTATTGCCACCTGACCTCTTCCTGGAGACCCCCAAGGCCTTCTTACACCCCTTCTCAGCTTGCAAGTCAACCTACCCAAAAAAATATTAAAGATGTTTAAACCATGCCTGTATTGTTCAGCACTATGTGCAGAATACCTGACACTGTAATATTCATAGAGTGAATGAATGAGTGAATAGCAGTCTAGTTGATTTGACCTGTCAATACTACCTAGAGGCCTTTGCAGGGAACTGCTTGAGCCAACAATCCATTCTTGAATCCGTCACTGTGGCCAAGGTATTCTAGGCTCTGTTTGGACAAGCTTTGGTCATGTGCTCACCATCAAGTTTGAATGGAACATCATGGATGTAAGTACGGAGCCACCTTCTTTGTTCTCTCAGGATGATCATGCACAAGGTGTGCTTCCTACTTTCCTGCTTCTCACACCAACACTTTCTAGTCAAGAAACAGGCATGCAACTGTGGTGAGGATAGAAGTCAGATGGAGTTGATCTTCCTAGGAATTGCTGGTACTGCTGGAAGTTGGAGAAGGGGGATAAATTGTGGGGAGAGCCAAAGAAGATGGAAGGGGAATAGGAAAACATGGCTGGGGTTAAAGAAGGGAATAGGACCTGGATCTTCCCCATGCTGTTAGCACAGGAATTGGACAAGAAGCATCAAGTTCATTATCTGTGTGACCTGGCCTTCATTATCTGTGTAAGAGCTGGAAGTCCTAGACCAGAGTCGGGGGTTTCTAGTCTCTAGCGTTCAGTTTAATTCAATCGACGCAACTTAGCATGTGTGCAAAGAGGTGATTCCCATTTATGCTTATAATGGGAAACAGTTTGACTTTAAAATCTTTTAGGGGAAATACCCTAAAAGACTACAAGATGGGAATATTATGGCATAAAATAACATGTTACCTTCTAAGTGTATGCATGTCCTGTATTTGCCCTTCTTTTAGATCTTTGTGTTTTTCTTGGTGGTGTTTTCTTTGTGAGCCTGTAAGTCTCTTTGTGTCTATATGGTATCTCCTATGTTCAGATCTTTTTTGTTGTTTGTATTTTGTTTTTTTGAGACACAGTCTTGCTCTGTCACCTAGGCTGGAGTGCAGCGGCACGATCTCAGCTCACTGCAACCTCCACCTCCTGGGTCCAAGCAACTCTCCTATGTTCAGATCTTTCTACTAGCTTTTTTTTGGTTCTCTTCCCCTTCATTTAATCTTTTTCCTCATATTACTTCCCAAATAAAAAAAATAGGAAGTATTATTACACTGAATAATAATCTCGAGTAAAATTTTATATTACATTTTAAAAGGAACTGTTAGTTCCTTTTAAAAACATTTTTAAAAGCAAAAGAGTGTTCTCTCTGGGACAAATATCTAAATTATCTTTTAACTTATGTTGCTTTTTTGTGGGTCGATGATTATCATTTTAAAAATTCCCTGTCATTGCTCTTAAGGGTGAAATGGTTTTCACCTACATCTCCCCTGTTGTGTGAACTAAAGGCAAGATATTACGCAGAAAATAAAATGTCTAAATGCAAAACTTGCAAGTCAACCTGCCCCCCAAAAATATTAAAGATCTTTAAAGAGGTGACTTAGAGATATGACTTGGTAAATATAACAATTGATTGATTATAAGTGGATAACATACAAATTTTGAGTAGAAAAAATTCCACACTCATGTGATTTTATTTATATACCTACTGTGAGGAAATACTTCAATATAATTCAGGTTAGGATTTGAAGTAAGGAAAAAAGTAAAACGTATCATTTGAGATGAGCCTTGAAGGGTAGATAGGATTTGTGGATATGAAGAAGGATCTGTTCCTTGGAGGAAAGCTCACAAAATGTCCTGCTAAATATGCAAAAGGATACAGACTAAAAAAATAATACAGAGTGTATGATTTCATTTATGCGATATTCTGTCTCTACTAACAGAAAGAAAGCAGATCAGTGGTGGCCTAAGACTTTGAGTGGGTAGAGGTTGGCTTTAAGGGACACACAGAACCTTTTGGGGTGGTGGCAGTGGTAGTTACCAGGCATATACATTTGTCCAAACTCAGAACTCTACACAGTGCATATAAATTATAACTCAAAAAAAATTGATGAAAAAAATAACGTAAAGTCCCCAGGTGGGGAAGTTCTGGCTATGCATGGAGATCAGGGTGTCATTCAGGTTAGACCATTTTCCCAA